TCTACTTGGCCCCTGAAGCTAGATTGGACAATTATTTCTTTTATGTGCGTTTTCAGCTAATTCAGAAAATTTCTACTATTATTCGAGTTAACAAGCCCCGGGCTCATGGGAGGGTTTTCAAAGGCCTGGCGAAAGTGTTGAGAGTGAAGAAATGATAGGAAGAAAATAGGGGGTACCATACAGACGGCTAATTAACATCTTGTAAGACCTTTCAGTAAAGCAGCTGGTCTCGTCACATGTTTAGAAGATTTGCAAAATTTTGAGAATTGAAAGGGGGTCTTTAGAGAGCATCTAACTCGGCCCCTCATTTTATGGATGGGAAAACTGAGACTTGGTTAATTGCCCGGGTCACAGAGTGTTTGCAGAAGAAGCAGGCTGACAATTCCATACGTGCTGCTGTCTCCAGCCCCCACATTGCTGCATTTGCTCTGAAAATGACAAATGAAGGACGTTTTCCCTACGAAGCCACAGACATCTCTGTTTCCTTTAGATTTCAGGCTAGCATGCAAAATATCTCCCCAACAATTTATTGCAAGGCGTTGTTAGCAACAAATCTAGTTTCACAGTTGTTCATTCATTTCTCTTTTGCGATCCAGAAATATACTTGATAATGGCACCTCTAATCTCTTTCATCTATTTGGGCTATTAGACTAAACTCTGCTACTATGAAAAATAACTCCTCTCACCAAATATTTGGGAGATCTTTAGGTTATGGTGCTCAAAACATAAATTACGCCCCACTTTTAACTATGTCTGTTCCCTTTGCCTAACAATTCTTTCAAAGCCCACTGAACTGAGTCTCTGATTAGCATATTTATGAGGTAACTGATTCAGCTATGTTAATTAGCTCTTTTTTTCCTCCACCCCCCCTTTTTTTGTAATTTCAGAACTGGCCAAAAGAGGGAGCAGCTTGCTGCCACTAATGTGTCCTAGTCTTATTCAGTGTAGGATGATAAAACAGGTATTGAAAAATGCGAAGTTCAAGAGTAAATCAAGATTTCAGTGCCTGAAAATAAAGAGATGAGTCCTAAAACTCAGAGGTTTTCAGTTTCAGATAGAGAAAAAACACCTCCAAGTTTGTAAGAGAAGGTTGGGGCTAAAGGAAGTGTTCCATAATTTCCCCAAATTAGAAAAACACTGGCACAGTTCAGATCTTACAAACTGATCTCTATGCTGTACAGTCTCTTGAGATGTTCAAAGAGTAGAAAAATAAATGTGTTGGCTAATAAAGGACCATATGGATAAGGGAAGGGGCTCCAAGTGCCAGAACTAGTGCTTGATTTCTGGATTTCAGTAGAAAAAGGAAGTATTGGGATGGTTTCTGGTTAAAGAAGGTTCATTCCCTAAAAGCCCCCCATGTCTGATTTTCACTGAAATTTTGTTTTCTACTTTAGAAAGAAATGTCTCATAAACACAAGATGCTAGAGGAGGATGCCTGGACTTGGTACTTCAAATTTAGAATCGAAGCTTGGAGAGGACCTAACCCATGCCTCCTACGCGGCCAAATCCTCTGTGGCCATGTGTCTCTGTGCTATTTCTCTATTTGCTTGGCCCTTCCTTCTCTAAGAGAAGATATCTTGGCTCTCTGACCACCATCTTATTACTCTGTCCTCTCTCCCATTCACAATGAGTCAGTTACACTTTTATCATTTCTTGGGGGCTGGAGATAAAGGTCGAGGGCCTAGACACCTGGCATTGCATGCAGGAGACCTGATTTAATCCCTGGTATCATATCACATGATCTCCTAAGCACTGCCAGGTGTGGCCCCCAAACATACATGCGTGTGTGTGTGTGTTTGAATAATTGTTTGCTCAAAATCCCCCCACCCTTGAACTTTGGGGAATGACAGTCCTTTAACAGTATTACTCAATATCCCTGGATCTTTAGGTATTTCCAGCAGGTCCAAATTGTCCTTTAAAGTTGTGGGTGGGGTGGGTGGTATAGCAGTTAAGGCTCTTGCTTTGCACCACAGCCAACCCAGGTTCAATCAATCCCTGGCACTCGGTATGGTAGCAGTGAATCTCGAGTCTACAGAGCCAGGAGTAAGCCCTGAGCATCAAAGATGTGGCCCTTGGAACAAAATAAAAACAAATCTAGCACCCTCTTGAGAATCACCTTACAAAATTATTTGCCTCAGAAAATTTAACCTGGATAAACTATGCAAGATATCCCAATTCTGTTCTGCTCACTAAACATATTTCAGTGACTGTTGTTTTAAAAAAATGTTTTTTCATCTCTACTGGCTAATTTTATTGCCGTCTACCGATTTTCATTGGGAGTCCAAAGGAACCAAATGGGAGGTTCACAATCACTTTCACGTTTTGTGATCAGTTCTGAAGCTGATAAACAAATAATGTTGAACACGTTTATTGAATGCGAAGCCTGGTAGGGAAGGAAAAGAAACTTTTTCTGTACTTAAAAAAAAACATATGTTAACACTTAACTGATAAAGTTTCTCTGTATGGCTTTCTTAAAACTACACATTGGACTCATACAAGGAATGCTATAAAAATGGGGAATGAGAAGGGAAAGAACAGCTAAACCAGCAGGCATAGCAGGCAAGAAAGGTCACTTACACTGGTGGGTTTCACATCCAAAAGGGACATCTACTAGAAATGTGGTGACTGGGAGGAGGTGGCCTTGGAACATGGAAACAGCTTGATCCCTACTCCATTACGTTCCCAACACGACAGTGATTTCTAGGGACCGAGGTTATTTTCTGAATTCTCTTAGGTCCCCAAGTGGCAAGTCTTTTGAACGGGGGGCACTGGGGCCACACCTAACAGTGCCATTCCTGGTTCTGAGCTCCTAAGTGATCCGTGACAGTGCTCACGGAGCAGATGTGGTTCTGGGGATCAAACTGGGGTAAGTCACAAGCAAGGCAAATTTATTAACCTGGCTGGAGCGATAGCACAGCGGTAGAGCGTTTGCCTTGTGCACAGCCAGCCCGGCTGAGCCGAGTTCGATTCCTCTGCCCCTCTTGGAGAGCCCGGCAAGTTACCGAGAGTATCTCGCCCACACAGCAAAGCCTGGCAAGCTACCCGTGATGTATTCAATATGCCAAATACAGTAACAACAAGCCTTAAAAAAATGGAGATGTTACTGGGCCTGCTCGAGCAAATCAATGAACGATGGGAGGACAGTGCAGTGCAATGCTACCCAAATTAGTCCCTGTACACTCTTCCTCCAACCCCAAGGGGGCAATTATTTTTTTCCTTGCTTTTTGGGTCACATCCGGCAATGCACAGCGGTTACTCCTGGCTCTGCACTCAGGAATTCCCCCTGGCGATGCTCAGGGGACCATATGGGATGCTGGGAATCGAACCTGGGTTGGCTGCATGCAAGGTAAATGCCCTTCCCGCTGTGCTATCCGCCCCCCAAAGGGGAGGGAGCAATTCTTAAATGTTCATCATTATTCAAGTTTTCCAAGAGGAGATTCATGATTATCTTTCTAAATCTCCTCAAAGTAAAAGAAAATACTTTGACTATTATCTTGCAAGATAAATGCCAGTCGAGAGAATACAATTCTTTCCACTAACAAAGGTGTCCACATTACCCATTTTTCACAGTTACATACACTTCACTGTTCGTTACAGAATAGGTATTGAAGAGTATGGGATACTAAGCAAGATATTTAAGTATGTCAATTATTTCTACCTGGGGAAAGGAGGACATGAAATTAAGACTAAACACAATTTTGAATATGAAATTTTGGGGGGGAATGGGCAAAATAAATGGTATGCTACACAGAAACAAAAGTTAGTTCAACTACATTACAAATTAAATATGCTCTTGTGGTCTAGCCTGAGAACCTAATGAACCCTTATTAAATCAGTTATAAGTTTCAAATGACGGATCTCAAAGCCAACATTTGAAATACAACCTATTCTTTCGCTGGGGAATGCCTTATCAGCTCTATCAAATCTAATTTAGTTCAAATTCTCACCATGGTAACGAGCCCTTTGCAGAAATACTCAAAGACATTTCACATCTCGAAATCTGCCTTGTACTTCTTCACTACACATAATGTCAAGAAAGGCATGCTTCAAAGGTACTATGTAATTAGAATGGCCTTTAAAAGAGGCACAAAGGAAATCATTCCTATTAAAATGAAATCATCTTCGTAACAATCTTCAAACTGACTGAAGAATGCCAGAGAATCCGAAGTTCTTCTGGACCCCACACCCCACATTCTTCTTTTGTAAACTCTGATAGCCACAGCATTGCTTCAGATATGACTGTAGTGTCTCTCATTTGGTTCCCATTAGCTATTTCTTTTCTACTGAAAGCAAGTGTGCATGTGAGAAGCCTGTTTGGCACAAGGTTGGAGAGAGGTTTGGTTGTGGCTTTCCATGGCTACTAAGCAAAAGTCCAAGCCAAAAAAAAGAGGCCTAGGAGGGAACCAGTTTAATGAAGACTATAGGCTAGTAGCTAATTCTGGGTCATGGCTACATGGAAACTCAAGGGCTGAGCTTTAATCCTGCCTGTGGTCTATGGAGCTTCTAGGAATTCTAGCTGTCTTTGGGGGGAATCCATTTTGAAATTGAATTTGAAGTCCAGCATCTGCAGAAACTCGATGATTATTTTGACTACATTTTCTGATGCCTGCTTTTTATTAGAAAGATTTTTTTAGTGACTTGCGTCAACAACATTAGTCTGTGTTCACCCAAGAAAATAACTGAAAGCATTTCAATTCAGACTTTAATCTATTTCTTGGCTCTGTGTGACCATATTTCCATAATGCCTACCATCCAGATTCTAATGCATCCAGAAAGATCCTAGCAATAAAGTTGGAGGGTTAAGTGGCTCCAAGTAGACAATGGGGGGGGGGGGAATCATCCTGGCAGAAAGAGGGAGCACAAAAGAACTCCAAAGAGGCAATGGTACCAACTTCACTGTCAACTCTTCAATGAGACTGGAATTAAAAGGTTGTGTAAAATAAGCTTCAGAATAAAGCAAGTAATGTAATGCCTGTTTCAGCCAATATTCCAAAACATACCATCAAACTTCTTGTAACGGGAAGCAAAGACCGCTTGCAAATGATTGCACTGCTCACTGACAACACTTTTGAAATCATCTTTACTTTGCAGGGTGTACTTCTCTTCCATCTCTTGAGAGCAGCAGGTGTAATCCCGGGAACAGATTTTCAAATGATCACCTGGAAGATAAAAAAAAAAGCATGACAATCAATCTCTATTATGCCCAAGTGAAGTGTGTGGGCGAGGGGAACACACTCAATTTCATGTTGATCTGCAAGAGGTCTCCAAAAAGCTCTGTAAATCATGCATCTGCAAAAAAAAAATGGCAATTACACTAAAAACATGTATCCGCTTCCCTGAAAAAGAAACGAAGCTACCTCTAAAACTGATTTGAAACCACCAGTGTTGGGACCCGTTCCCAGATACTGTGTTGAGAAACGTTAAGGAACTGTAGAGATAGCACAGTGTGGGAAGTTTGGGGAGTTGATACTCCAGGCAAAGGAAAACATCATAAAGAATGATTTCTAAAATATGGCACAATCAGGCTGGCAAGATCGTACAGTGGATAAGGCACTTGCCTTGCACAGTTGACCCAGGTTTGATCCCCGGCCCCTAAGATGGTCTCCTGAGCAAGTACATCTCTGAGCACAGAGCCAGGAATAAGTCCTGAGCATTGCCAGGTGTGGCCAAAAGAAAAATTAAATTAAAAAATTAAAACTAAATATGGCACAGTGATAAAAATGAAGCCAAAAAAAAAAAAACAGTAGTAGACTTTGGGAAGCAGAAAAACACCATGGAGGCTCACACTGGATAACTCCTACTTAGGATAAGTCACGTGAAAAGCCCAAATCTATGATTATTCTCATTCACAGGCCTTTGCTACGCACAGGCACACAGGCAGAATGAGATCTGCAGTCACCCTCGTTCACTCTAGAAGGACAGACCCCAGGGGACAGATGAGTGAGCAAGGGAGACTGAGAATCATGAGATGCACCTTGGGGAACACAGGATTGAAGGACAGACTAGAAAGCAAGACGGCAAGAAGGGACGGCAGCCCCACAGCGAGGTGACAGAGAAATGAGAAGGAAACAGCAGTGTGGGGAGCAGGAGAACATTCCAGAAAGAAGGCCCAGCAACTGTTTCAGGCAGGGAAGAAGACAACATGAAATAGGGGCCAGAGAGATAGTTCAGGGGTTAAGACATTTGTCTTGCACATGGCTGACCTCGGGTCGATCTCTGTATACAGGACCCCCTGAGTCCTACTGGGAAGGGTCCCTGAGCACAGAACCAGGATTAAGTCCTGACCTGAACAGCACTGGGTGTGGCCCACATTCCCCCGACTACAAAAGGTGCTATTAAACAATCTTCAAGATTTTTTTCTTTTCTCTTCTGGCTGTATTCAGGGCTAACTCTGGGCTCTGCGCTCAATGATCACTTCTGGCAGGCTCTGGGGGACCACAGTGGGTATTTGGGATCGAACCTAGGTCAGCTGCATGCAAGGCAAGTGCCCTATTCACTGTACTATCTCCGCAACCCAATTTGAAGATTTTTCTCCTCCAGCCTCTCTGTACACATTTAATGTGGCACCCACTTTACATTATGGCACATGCATTACAGCAACTCACTGGTCCCATAGGAGACTACTGGCTCCCAGGACATGTCAGAGAGACATAGAGTGGGGGCTTGAAAATTCCAGAGGAATGTCAGCTTCACAGCTCGACCCACCGAGTATCTCTCTCCCCTGCGCTCAACACATTCTCCACTTGCGGTTGGAGCGTGAGCAGTTTTGAGGGATGCTTCTTCTAAACCCCAAAGTTCCCTTTCACCATGTTCATCCTCTCTTGCAGAGCAGCGAAAATCAGGCTTTGAAGAGATCCTCCCCCCCCCCCCCCCGCTCCTAATGCCCGAGAAATGTGTAGTGCTACACAAAAAGAAAGCGCATGAGGTAGTACGATTGTGTTACTCTGATAGTAAAGGGTATGGTATAGGTATCCCTTCCTAATTTTGCGCAGATGTTTTGAAGGATTCACTTTCACCGCTCTTGCTGTCCACATTCCATAGAAGACAAAAGGGGTCTGAAAAGAATCAAAAGCTTTGGAACTCAGGAATGAGGATATTGAAGACAGATGAGCCTGTCGATGGTTAAGTATGTACAATAAATAAATGGCTGGCCAACAAAGAGCCCATCTTCCTTACAACACTAATCTTGGAGAATGAAATGGGCCGTGCACTGGCCACTGCTGAGTCTTAGCTGTTTGTGCTTACAGGAAATAAGCCTTTACCTAAGCTAGACACTGAAGTAGGTCTGTGGCGGGGGACTATTTCAGATAAGATGGAGTAGGCAATTTTTCGGACTCACACTATCAACTACGCACATGCAAATAATTAAACACACGCACATTCATTCTTTCTAGTGGTTGAAAAGAACTAGAAAGATCTTTCTGCCAGACTAAACCGGGTATTCGTGGCCAAAGAGATAGTATAGCGGGTAAGGTGCTTGTCATGAATACAACAGGGCTGGGTTTGATCCCTGGCACCATATATGATTCCATGAACCATGCCAGGAGCACATGAGCACCACCAGGTATGGCCCAAACAAACAAAAAAGAGATAAGCAGCATTAAAGACGATTCCACGGTCACGGTCCTCCCGTTGTTCATCGATTTGCTCAAGCGGGCCCAGTAACGTCTCCATCATGAGACTTGTTGTTACTGTGTTTGGCATATCGAATACATCACGGGTAACTTGCCAGGCTCTGCCGTGCGGGCGAGATACTCTCGGTAACTTGCCGGGCTCTCCGAGAGGGGCGGAGGAATCGAACTCGGGTCAGCCATGTTGGCTGCGTGCAAGGCAAACGCCCTACCCGCTGTGCTATAGCTCCAGCCCCAGGAGTAGCTTCTAAGCACCAACAGGTGTAGCCCCCAAAGCAAAGGGCTGTTGCATAATAGCTGAAAGCTAGCAAACGGCAGAGCAAGAAAATCTGAGATCTGCTCGCTGAAAGGAGAAGAGCTGGAATGCTCAGTTTTCAATGGTGACACTTTTGCTACAACCCAAAACAAAACGCCATCTCCACTGGCTTGACAAGTTCACAGCAGACCCTAGGTATCCAGACACACAATGAACACAGAAATATGCAGTTGCCTTCTGGTTTCAGGATAGAGGATTGCACCCCCCGCTCCCATATAGCCTTATCACTGAAAATAATCCAGGAGAACCCCACAAACACAGTGACTGCTGTAGTTGTACTATATCATAACCACCAGACTCCCCCCCACACACCCCTCCCACAGAGAAAAACTAAATAGAATGCGCAATATAAGAAAGTCGAGTCACCCAGGGCTACTTTCTTGAGTCCTTAAATGGGAGGTGCAGAGTGGAAGCAATATTACAGTGCGTAGGGCACTTGCCTTGCACACGGCGAACCTTGGCTCGATCCCCAGCATCCCATATGGTCCCCCAAGCACTGCCAGGAGTAATTCCTGAGTGTAGAACCAGGAATAACCCCTTAGCATTGCTGGGTACGATCTAAAAACAAAAATAAGCGTGGGGGGGTGAGGCGGGGAGCAGCTACTTATAAAGAAAATTAGGTTAACAGACAGGCCCAAAGTACTCACAGGTGAGTTCCCAAGGGCCTACAAAAGATTTCATGGTGAGATGCGTGGCCTTTCCAAGGCAAAACAACTCCTGAATTTGGAAAATCATCTGTTCACTCACATCATCTTTTTTTTGGTGGGGGGGTCACAGCCAGCGATGCACAGGAGTTACTCCTGGTTCACACACTCAAGAATTACTCCTGTCGGTGCTCAGGGGACCATATGGGATGCTGGGAATCGAACCTAGGTCGGCTGCGTGCAAGGCAAACGCCCTTCCCGCTGTGCTATTGCTCCAGCCCCACACTCACATCATCTTAAGAGTGTTTTCATCTACGGTACTCTAAAACCTCACTTGGATCCTATTGAAATAGGCTTCCAAGGCCAGGGACAAGCACCCCTTTCCTCTATACCCAGTGCACACGCCTAGTGACAAGCATATGACTGAAGCCAGAGAAACGCAAAAGACAGAAAGAAAAGCTTTCTCATTAGAAGGTGTTAGTCATGGAGGGATTCATCCGGGAGTTGCGGGTTACATTATGGAAAAGTCCTTTAGAAATGGGCAACAAGGGTCATGGAGAGAGAACAGGGTGCAAGGTGCTTGCCTCGCATGTGCATGCTGGTGACTGTGGTTCGAATCCCTGCGGGCCACATGGTCTCTCCAAGCACTGCGTGAGCACAGACACAGGCATATCGCCTGAGTGCAGCTGAGTGTGGTCTCAGACGCAAACAACCCAAGTGAGTAATGGCAGCGCAAGTGTTACCACTAAATTGCTGAAGGTTGAGGGCACAATTATCACTGGCGGGTAGAGAAGACCTCACAAGGGGCCCTCAGCAGAACTTTCTGAGTTTCTACCTGAACACATGGCAGGGGAGGACAGGGGGCTCATTTTTGTTTGGGTGCCACCAAAAACAAAATGACAAAGAGTGCACTTTCATTTCATTTTCTTATACTGAGAGTGAGCAATGCCTTTTATTTTTAAAAAATTTTTATTAGTGAAACATCATGAGGTACAGTTGTAGACCTACAGATTTTTGTGCTTGGATTTCATTTCTACAATGATCCAATACCCATCCCTCCACCAGTGCCCATTTCCCACCACCACAGATCCCAGTATCCCTCCCACCCCCCCATCCCCCCACCCCACCCTGCCTCTGTGGCAGGGCATTCCCTTTTGTTCTCTCTCTCCTTTTGGGTGTTGTGGTTTGCAAAAGAGGCATTGAGTGGCAATCATGTTTGGTCTATAGTCTGTGCACTTTCATTTTAGAGAGACCTTTCCATGAAGACTTTGATAGTCTAAGACCAGCGATGTATAGAGGAAGAGGGCAGACATTTGGCTAAGGTTACCACTGGGAAAGCCGCCCCCCATACCCCGTACAAAAAACCCCTCCAACAACCCACTTCTGCCCACACAGCCTGAACAGGCCACTTATTCCGCCTGCATTTCTAAAAAGCATTACTTGAAAATGTAATTTGACATTCTTTGCCCAAAGCCCTGCCTGAGAGACATGCGGTCCAAGACTTGTAAGTTAAATCCCAAGACATACTTCGGCTACTGGGGATTTGATGCCATAACCAGTTTTGGCTG